TCATACACACACACTCATACACACACTCACACACGCACTCACACACACACATTCATACACACGCACTCATACACACACACTCACACACACTCATACACACACTCACACACGCACTCACACACACACTCGCGCACACACGCACACACTCATACACACGCACTCATACACACACACTCGCACACACTCATACACACACACACTCACACACACACACACAGAGTGTTTAAAGTATGTGATTTAGTATTTTTAGTGGATCCCAAGACCCTTCCAAGATGACCTCTGTCTGGTTCACAGCACCCAGAGCACAGGTGGCCTCATCTGAAGTTCCCAGGGTAGCCTTGGGTTGTGCCTTTTTCCAGAGGAGCTGCTCCTTCCCTGCATGTGTCGGGCACCCTACACCAGGACACGTTGTCATCTCATTGGTGTGACTCAGCCCCACAGAAGCTACATCCTGATGCTTTCCTGGCCTCTTTCTGTGGCTGATAAAATTACTCCCATGGCCGGACAGACCGCCCATTGTAAATAAAGTTTTATAGAGATTGAGCATTGTCTGTGGCTGTATTGTAGGACAATAGTGGGGGTTTATGGGTATGGCAGAAGTTGTTTAGACCCTTATAGCCTGAGTCCTCAAGTCTGTCCTTTGTAGAAATTTCTGTCTTTGGCCTCAGTGACAGTGGTACAGGTTTCTGGTTTGTGTGCTATGGTAGTTTTCATCTGGTTACCTGATCTGTAATTTCCAGAAGCAACCAGCATGACTTTGAGAAAGGATGGCTATGGGGGAGGTGTTCTCCAAACTGACCCTGAGGCTGCAGTAAGGTCCCCACCTGGCCTGGGCTCCTAGAGAAGTGGAGGGGACAGGAAGGGGGAGGGAGGCTTCATGGCAAAAGCCTGGTTCTCTGTGCGGGGTTCCCTGTGGGTATAGGGCCCCAGAGGTCTTGTCCTTGAGTCTTGGGGGTCAGCATGGGCTTGAGTCATTATTTGTCCCCTTTCCAATCTGTGGCTGCAGGTGGCTCTGTCTTTCCTCGCACGCTGTTGGAGTTTAACCACCCTTCTGTAGACATAGCAGAACTGACCGTGGCAGAAGCAGCCTTTGCCAGGCACCTCTGGTTATAACAGAGGCCAGGTCAGGACACCAGCCAGCAGGTTCTTAACCAAGAACCAGGGAGGTATCCGGAGAGGCCTCCGGCTTCAGAGCCCCATGGCTGAGTCCCTACTGTCTCTTCTTCTATAGCAACAGGCTGGTGCTTGGCTAACAAACCCTGGGAGTATATAGCAAAGAAGGTGTTGATGAGTCAAGTTCCGAAAGGTGATGACAAGATGTCTTGATAGATTCCACAGCTACCAGTCCCTCCGTCTCCCTCCAGGAGTCTCAGCTCCGGAGAAAGCTCTGCCCAGGGGCTATAGGACAAAGGTGGCAGAAGAGACCATCTCCCCCGTCACGCCGCGGACGGAAGCGCGCGGTGACCCCTTTCCCTTCAGGGACATTTGGACCCCAGCTTGGCTTCTCTCAAGTCCACCCTCAGAAGATGGAGCAGGAGGGTCTGTGACTTGTCCAAGGCCATCCGAACAGTGGCAGAGCTCGGAGTCCCTGAGACTCAACAGGAGCAGGGTCCCCGCTTTGGATACAAGGATGCTATTCCTTGGGGAGAGCAGTAGACTGGGTGTCCTTGTGGACTTGGTGACAAAGATGTTGTGTCTCAGTGTACGCCTTCTGGAGTCTCCCATGGGCGTGCTGGCAGAGCAATCAAGATTATAAAAATAGGCCTGTATCCAGGAGTTTTTTTTTTTTTTTTTTTTTTTTTTTCTGAGAGAATTGGTAACAGACACCAGTAAGCATTTGGTCACAAGTTTATTCAGCCTTGCTTGTCTGGGGGAAAGGCTAGAAGCCCCCAGATCTTACAGTACCCGGGGTCATGAGTACAGGGTCATGTGACCTGCAGGTAACAGGTGCTGCCTGCCGTTTGCTTGCCGTGTGGCGCAGGGTGAACCCGGGACCTCCTACGTGAGCACGATCGGAGCGGAGCGTCCCTCCCGCAGGCTGGCATGGATATTTTAAACGCAAGGACATATGAGGGAATCGGACTCCTGTTTGCAAGTGCAACTTTTTTTCATTTTTCTAAAATGGACTTGGATTATACATTTTTTTTTTAAAGTTAGTACTTGCTAGGATTGTCTAATAACAGGCAGCCATCAAACTGGCACCCTGTGCTGACCAGTGTGGCCCGTGTTGTTTAGCAGAATGGATATTTGGGGGCTTTTTTGTTGGTGGCAATTGTTTCTGTTGGTGGTGGTGGTGTTGTTTGTTGGTGCTGGCCAGTGACCCTCTTGGGGTTCACCTGTTGTTGGGACATCTTCAGCCTAGGGGTTACCAACATGTGCCCGCACTCCACCCCGAGCTTCTTACACTCTGCTGGAGATGAAACACCCATCCTCATGCTGATCCAGCAAGCACTTTGTCGAACCGAGCCACCATTGACCCAGCCTGCCGGCTGAGTTAAGGCAGAGCTTGGGGGCTCTGGGAACAACCAGGAGAGCCCAGGTGTGGCGGGGATGGGTGTGGCAACATCGCTTTTGTTCCAGAACAGACCTACAGAGGGTAGTAATGGAAACTGGCAGCAGTGAGCAGTTTGGGGCAGGTCGAAAGGGCCTCCTATCGGGAGCCACCTATTAAAGCAGCGGCATATTCTGTACCCAGGAACTTTCCTCTTGCTGAAGAGTTGATGGGAGACGGGGAAGGAGAAAGAGACAGAGACGCTAGCTAATCCCAGGGCTATATCTGGGAGTTCCCCCAGAGACACAGAATCAACAGGGAGAGAGGGCCCGGGTTTGATATGGGAATGGGCTTCCACCGTGATAGACTGCAAGTTACCACTGCAGAGCAGAAAGCAGCCACGTGGTTCTGTCTGTGTTCAAGGACTGGAGAGTGGGGTGGATGGAATGAGTCTATAGTGCAGAGGACAGCCCCCAGCCGCCCTAGTGGCTGGAGACAACAGGTGTATGCCATGCTCAAGCAGAGAAAGCAGCTCACTTCTTCTGGGTCCTCTCAAGCTTGCTCAGTGTGGCCCAGGAAGGCCTGATTCAGAGCTGATCGTGTCCAGAAATAGCTCTAGATTAACCAGTTTGCCGGGTGTCCCTCTGCTCACTAACCAGCCGGGTGTCCCTTAGTTCAGTCCAGTCGACACAGAAAATAAACCATCACAGGGGTGTGAAAAACCAGAAAAATGGAGATTTGGTGGAGAAAGTCCTCCTCTGGGGATAACTCATATATTGGCCCAAGTCAGTGGTCAGTAGCCCCTCCCAGAGCTCATCCAACCCAGTCAAAGCCCTGGGTTCCAGATTAGCTCTCGGGTTCCGGATTAGCTCTCGGGTTCCGGATTAGCTCTCGGGTTCCGGATTAGCTCTCGGGTTCCGGATTAGCTCGCTCTCCGGATCCCGTGTTCTCCGAGAGCCCCGCGCCCCAGCCTGCCCTGCAGCTCACTTTTCCTATCAGTGACACATTCCGCAAACTCAACCTCTCTCAGCGGTGTCATTTTCAGAGGATGCTCCAGCCCTAGAAACACAGCCAAGAATGTCTGACTCAGCATTCTGTAGGGTTACGAGTGATGGGGGTGGGGCTAGGCGCCCTTCTTTGCCTGCCTCAGTCAGAGTCCCAGAGCTGTCGGGAAGTAGCCCATATTCCATCTGCCCAAGTGCCGCCAGCTGCTGTCTCTGCGGGACAAGGTATGGAAGCATTTGCCGCGTGTGTGTGTGTGTGTGTGTGTGTGTGTGTGTGTGTGTGTGTGTGTGTGTCTTAATGTCCTGACAGCGTGGGTGGGGGAGCACCACCTGAGGAGCCCATGATGTTGTCAGGCTGTGGGGGGAGGACGTCCTGGGACGCGACCTGGGAGTGTCAGATGGCGTGGCCTCTGTCTGTCAAAGCCTCTTCAAACAAGCATCTTCAAAAGGCTCTCGGCCCAGCCACTTCAGACAAATCTGATTGCTTTTCTCACCTGGAACTTTGTCCTCTGACTGGCCTGCCGCTGTCCCTGGCCTCACGCCTGCGGTGATGTCACAGCACAACAGCTCTGCTGTTCCCATAGCAACAGCCTCTCATAGTTAACCAGCTAAGGCAGAGACTGGGCTGCTGGCAGAGGTGGGGAGTGGTGATTCCAGCTAACCTGGGTCAGTGACCCCTGAGACCCCACGTGGACCACCTTAAGACAAGATTGTAAGATTGTCCTGTCTGCCCCTTCTCCTCCAGGTGGGGGGAGGTTCATTTTGTACCCAGCTGTTTGGGGAGGACATATGCCCAGCCCGAGTTCTGATGCAGATTTAGAAGTCCCTGTCTTATAAGGAAGCCTAGCGGCTGAGAGTGGGGGCTGGGGCTTGGGGAGACTTTAGCTGCCCTGAGGAGAGGGATGCCATGACTGAGCAAGAGTGGCGGCTGGGGTCGGTACCCTGACCTGGCTGTGGCGAGTACCACCCCTATAACTTTGTAAGACATCAGCTGCATCAGCTGGAAGTAACCTCCTTGGCTTGTGGATGTCTGGACCCTGAGGTCAGAGGTCAGCTCACTACAAGATCTGTCTTTGGAAATACGAGCTTGTCCTTCATCCCCTTAGCTGGCTGCCCCGCTGTCTTAGTCTGGTAGAGCCCGTGGGTCCTGGTGGAGGATGAGGAGGTGGTAAAATGTCAGTATGTAACGCCACCCCCTCTATGAACTCGGGCAGGACTTAATGTTCTACCGTGCCCTCCCCTAGGGGAAATGCGGGCACCGCTACTCTGACCCGAGCCAGCAGCTTTAGGGACGGCCCCTCCCGACCTAAGCTACCAGAGGAAGGGCCAGAAATGGGGTATGAGGCAACAGTCTGTATCCTAGAAGCTAGAACTCAAAGAAATGGGGTTAAAAACACTTCTGATGTTTATTTCACCTGGGCTTGGCTTGGATGCCTCCAGTGATGGGTGTCTCACTGCCTACCCAATGATTTCAAGACAGCCCTGTGGAGATTTGTTTCCTTTCACCCACCAACTCCTGCCTCCCTGTAATGTGTCCTCAGTGGTCTGGCTCAGTCATCTGGAGACACACACAGTAAGTAGCACCCTGTCCGCACACGGCTGGCCGAGCGTCTGGGTGGTCCTCGCGGTGCTGGGAGAGGCTGCCACCGCACACTTCACAGATAGGGACTGAGGCAGTAGCATCGGGACCTTCCTCAGGCACATAGCACTCCACCTGTGCTCCTACAGACCCTTCAGCCTGCCGAGGCCCCTGGCTGTTGTCATCGTCCTTCTGAGATCTTTGTTGGTGTCCCCTGCTTCTACCCTGCTTTCCTAACATTCCAGATCCTTCCAGGGCCGTCTTTCCGTCCTGGTTCTCCCTTGCTCTTCCAACATTTCGTCCAGCTGTCCATCCCCAGCTCCTGTTTCTCTGCATAGCCTTGGCTGTCCTGGAACTCACTCGCTGTGTAGACCAGGCTGGCGATCCTTCCTGTCTCTGCCTCCCAGAGTGCTGGGATTAAAAGCGTGTGCCACCATGCCCGGCATTTGGTTTGTTTGTGCCACCATGCCCGGCTGTCATTGGGCCTTTGGTTTGTTTGTTGGGTTTTGTAGGTGCCAGAGGTTCACATCAGGCGTCTTCCTAGTTTGCTTTCCGCCATTTATTTTGAGACAGGATCTCTCTCTGAACCTGGAGCTCGCCGGTTTGAATACACTGGCTGGCCTGTGAGTTCCAAGGAGTCCACATACTGGTCTCTGTCTCCTCTGCACTGGTCGCAGGCATGGGCTGCTCTGCCCAGCTACCTTACTTGGGTCCAGAGACTCACACTCCGGTCTCATGCTTAGACAGCAGAAGTGTTACTGACCGAGCCACCTCCCTAGTCCCCTTGTGCCTTTAGGTACTGTCTTATGACCTTGTGACGCGGCCATTCACAGATGGTTCTCATCCCTTCAAAGTCACTGACTCACATCTGCCCCTCGGCTTCCTATACCTTGACCATTGCTTTCTATCTTAGACGTTGGCTGAGCTCTCTTTGGTCCAAGTGCCGTTCTCAGTGACACAGGCCATCTCTGCTGCTGCTGGGGCATCCTTACTGCAGGCACAGGGCGCGGCGGCCCCGCCACCACGTTGTCTCCCTCTCCCTCTGTGTCTAAGGCCGTCCAGGGCTGCCGTCTGTCTAGGCTGTCCAGGGCTGTCAGTCTGTCTAGGCTGTCCAGGGCTGTCAGTCTGTCTAGGCTGTCCAGGGCTGCAGTCTGTCTAGGCTGTCCAGGGCTGCAGTCTGTCTAGGCTGTCCAGGGCTGCAGTCTGTCTAGGCTGCCCAGCACAGAGTTAGATTCTTCTTCTGACTGCAGATAGACATCATGCCAGTCAGTGCTTTGGGTGGCTGGTGGCTCCCAGCCATGGGCAATGCTTCGGTATCCCAAGCCTCTACACTCTGATTGCTGACTCTGGTGAGATTTGGATGCACCCCTGTTGCATCTTGTCCTGTCAGGTTTGACTAGGATACAATCCGTTGAAAAATGTTGTGATCTGGGCCTGGTGGCACCAGATCACAGACCTAGCCCCGCAGATGTGGAGGCAGGGGGATCACAAGTTACAGACTAGCCTGTTGTGAGACCCAGTCTCAACAAAGCCACACAAGGGCCTGGCGGCTGATTCTCTGTCTTCACCCCATGGGTGATGTGTTTTGGGGTGTGTGCGCTTAGAGTCAAAGGCTTGAGTCGCCGACACCACTGGTCCCCTATATCGTTTGCTTTAATGTCAGATTCAACTGCTGGATGTTTGATCCTGTGGCACCGGGCTTCTGTAACAGAGGCGGAGGGATGGGCACATGGAGAGACGGCTTGGCAGTTGGGAGCATTGGCTGATCTTCTAGAGGACCCAGGTCCAACTCCTAGCTCACGGCTATCTGTAACTCCAGTTCCACGGGATCTGCCATCTTCATACACACATGCAGAATAGCAGCACACATAAAATAAAAATTAAAAAAAAAACAAGAGGTAAGGGGAAAGTTTCAGCCAGCATTGAGGGTATGCTGCAGCTACACACAGTTGATTACTAAGCCCACATTACACCGGGGTCACTTAGTTTAAGAAAACCCTGTCCTGTTCTGTGTGTCTTAGCCCTTGAGGGTCCTCTGTGTTGTCCCACGACTGAAGAGGACACAGCGTTGCTTTGTGTGCCAGTCACTCGTGCGATACAGAAGTGCCAGACTCCATGCATGAGACTGCAAGACTGAGCTACACAGAAATGTCCCCTGTAGCCGATGTCACTAATCTGTAACTGCCTCTGTACGTTTCCCAAAAATGCTGGTGTCTGAGTCCTGAGTGTGCAGGCTGTTGGAGAGCAGGGTGTTCCAGGGAGGGGAGTTGCGGGAGTTTGATACAGATGGAGAATGTGAGGGCATGACTAGCCCATGAAGAACCCACGTGAGCACAGTTAAGGTGCTGGGCAGCAGTGGGCACTGGGGCTGGAGCTGGCAGGGCAGCATGGCCTGACCCTGCGACTGCCCTGCACGCAGGGGTAGCATCTCCCTAGGGTGCCCTGTGAGCAGGGGTAGCATCTCCCTAGGGTAGAGCCTGTTGGCTGCGGATGGTATTTGGAAACTTGCTGGTCAGGACGAAGGGGCCAGGGTAGGCTGGCTAGGGGTACTATCGTTGGGGAGGGTGCAGGCAGAGAGGTGGGTGGGACACAGAAACGCTTGTAAGAAACCCTAGGGCTTACCTGCTTTGGGGGAGGGAGAGAGCCAAGGCAGCCTGTTGAAAGACAGCAGGCGGAACATCTGATGAACTCAGAGGCCCTGTTGTGTCTCATAGAATCACCCAGAAAACGCACAAGCTCGCCTCAGGCCTTAGCAGCAACGGGGAAACAAATAAAGCCCACATCAGAGCTGATGTGCATCTTAGAGGTAGCTCCCAGTTCTGACTCCTGCTCCTGACGGTTAGGGACCTGGGCCAGGGTCTGTCTGCTTAGACCTTGATGCATGCTGGGTCGGGGCTGGATGGCCTTTGGCAAGTTACTTAACCTCTCTGAGTCTCAGCTACCCCAAGGTGCCTCTCCAGACAGATGAGGGGATATGTGTGAAGTCATCCCACTCTATGACCAGCTGGCTTTGTGATCATCGATGCTGAGTCCAGCCACCTCCTTCCACTTGGCCCTGACTTCACAAGTATCCCCTGGCCTGGGTAAGCATCTCTAAAAGGGCACATGCTTCCAGGGTCCCCCGGCACCCCTAGAGAGGTAGTAGCTCTCGCTGTCTGAGGAAGGCAGTGGTATATGCTGTGTTCACTATTTAGTGAGTGTTCATGTCATATTAATGGTCAACTACAATGTGTGTGGGGGGGGGGTGGGGGGTGGGGGTTAGCTCTGTGGCCGCTGTGTAGCTATAAGTAGAAAGTGTGGCAGGATTGTTACAACCCCAGCAAGTAGAAGGCCTGGTGGCCACTATTTAACCGTGTGGCTGTTCTTGTAGATGTGGAGTAGGCAGACCCGGGCATCCACATGGTGTGGGCAACATAGTTCTGCATAGTGAGAACACAGGGCAGCTGCAGGATTCTGTATCCTGCTACGGGGACCAGGCTGGCTGGTGTGAGCCCATCTTACGGCCCCTCGTGTGGCTTCCCATTATATTACTTTGGTTCCTGATTTCATTGAGGCAGGCCTGGGGCATTCCTCTACCCAACTGCCCAAAGGCATTGGGTTCTCTTCTACGCAGCCTGCTGCTGGCCCCATTTGGCTCAGGAGTGTGCTGCTGGTGGCTGTGGATGACACCTGGGGACTTGTTGGTGAGGGCAACGGGTCTCAGGCTCAGCAAGGGGAGCCATGAATCCAAGGGGAGCCCTGCCCTGTGGTCACAAGATAGGCTGGGAGAGGGGCTCGGGAAGGAGCAGAAAGGCAGTTGTCGTGGGGACATGGATTCCTCAACTGTGGAGCTAGCTTATCCCAAAGATTTCTCCATGAGGATGAGGGATGCTGACTGAGACTTGGTGATGCCTCTGATTGGCAGGGACATGGCATGTGTCCGTGGTTGTCACCTGTCAGGAAGTATGGAAGCCAGCAGCTGCAGGCTCAGAAACAGACTTCACATGTTAGGTGGGGTTGGTGCCATCTGAGAGACAGTCACAGCTACACAGACCCTCCCCACCCATTGCGACACCCCTGTGGCTATTCCCTGTGTGTGTGCCATGCACTTTGACACCCAGCTGCTCTGGGATCTGTTATTCAGCCCCTCTGAGCTTCCGTTTCTCCTGGCTGAAGGGTGGTAATCCCAGGTCACTCAACAGACCTAGAGAGACAGACTTAGAGAAGTTGCTAGACCGTGGGTGACGTCCCTTGCCCCCATTTGACACACCAGGGTGCAGGGTTCCAGTTTCCCTGGCTATTCCTGATTGTAGCCACCCTCGAGGGCATGAAGCAGTAACAGCCTGCTTTTCTCTGGTGCAGATGGCTCTTGGCCATTTTTTCATAACGTTATTTTTAATTATGTTGTGGCAGGAGCAGGATGGGGCAGTGTGGGAAGGGGGTTGGGTGGGGGGTGGTGGGGGGACAGGAGAGGGTGGTTGGGGGAGAGTAGGGGTGATGTGGTGAGATGTGAACGTGACCCATGGAGGCCAGAGGTGTCAGATCCTTGGAGCTGAAGTTACAGACTGTTGTGAGCAACCCCAACCTGAGTGCCGGGAACCGAACCCAGGTCCTCCAGTTCTGTTTGTATCTTTTAGCAATGTTTAACAGTGTTATTTTTGTGTGTCTATGAAGGAGCGTGTGCGCGTGCAGACGTGAGGGGGCAACTTCCAGCACGTGGCGCTTTCTTCTTCACGGGACCCCGGGGATTGAACTCACGTTGCCAGGGTTACATATCCAGCTCTTTTACCTGCAGAGCCGTCTTGCTGCAGCCTCTTTTACAGTTAGGTTGCCCTTCTTACGGTGCTATTTAAGTGTGGTGGACGAGAGTCTCTTCCTGGCTCTGTGATCTTGAAAACCTTGGCATCGGCAGAAGATGCCTCAAGACACACTGCTCTCCTCCTCGTGGTATCATCTGTCAGCTGTCTCTTTAACTGCTTGGTTTTTCCTGCTACATCTAAGACATCTTGACCTCAGCTAGGGCCATGGATAAATATATATATGAATATATACACGTATATATGTATGTATGTGTGTGTGTATATACATGTGTATGTGTATACACACACACACATACACATATATGCACACATTTGTTTTTCTTCTAAACATTTGTAGTTTTAGACCAGACATTAGGCCTATGCAGGCTCGACTGGGTCTTGGTTTTTGTATACGATTCGAGGAAAAGGTGTGGGTCCCTCTCCCTTGAGTGTGGGTACCATTTGTTAGCCATTTGTTAAAAAGGAGAAAACTCTTCCCCCCCCCCACACTGGTCCCTGAGTTGAGAGCCCTGGCTTCCTCTCATTCTCTCCTTTTGGCCACCATGGTGTTTGGCTGGCTGGTGGGTGTGATATTAGCAGCTGTCTTAAGAAAGCATTTTTAATTGCCTGGTCTGGAGCAAGGAGCTCTCACAAAGACATATGAGTCCATGGCACTGATTGTGTAACTGGCTGGTGGCTGGTCAAGGGCCTTGTGATCTACCCAGTCAGAGAGGGCCTGTTCGCCTCTCTGGCTTCAGGGTTCTCCTTGCTCCCTGCCTCAGTTTCACCATCTGTGAACCATGGATGGTAACAGCTCTTTACCTCCCAAGGTTACTAGACCAAAAAAAAAAAAAAAAAAAAAAAAAAAAAGTAGTCTATGTCGTGTGTGGTGGTACATGCCTGTAAGCTTAGCACTTGATAGGGTGTTGGGGGTGGAGAGGACAGGAAGATAAGTTCCAGGCCAACCTGGACTATATAGGGAGATCCCTGCCTCAAACAAGGAGCATTTCATGATGGCTGCCCAGTGCTCAGATGGGCCTGAACCATTATCTGTAATGGACATGTGGGGCTGTTTTCTGGTTGCTGTAACAGACATCGGCTTAAGTTGGTCAGCCTGCTTTTGTGGGGACTGAAAGGAAGGGAAGCCGGGGGCTGTTCATGCAGACCATAGTGTTCTAGAGGCCACAGGACTCTTCCCCTTGGGAAGCACAACTTCTTAGAAAGGTCTGGCAAAGCACGGGCTTCTGATGCCACAGAACACTCAACAGTCCTCTGATAACCTCACGATGACAAGCTGGGCATTGTGATGCAACATAACATACATTTCTCCTCTCTGGTTTGTATTTGAGCCATGTAGCAAGCATGCATCACCCCCACACACACATGCCTGCACTACATACCCCTCTTCTCAAAGACATGCATGTAGATATATGAGCCTGCACCTCCATTCGGCTTGCATTGGACCCAAGTAACAAACATGCATATCTCGACATATCCCTTCATGCACACGCCTGCTCCTGTGCATACAGGTGTGTAACACAGATGTATGAGCACGGATCCTTATACACAGGCCCCTGCACACACCCTGCCTGAGGCTCCTCCCTTTCCTGCCCCTTCATCTCTTCGCAAATGAGCAGCTCTCTCATTCCAGGCTAGTCCACACAGCCATAGCCCCCACCTCCTTCCCCAGGTTTGTTCTCAAATGCCCCCTTTGCCAACCTCCCCTTGGGGCAGAGGGTCCTCACTCACAGGACTGCTGTCCTTTCTTGTCACGAGGCTATCCTGTGCCTTTCAGGATGTAACGACATCTCTCCCTGGCTTGGCCCCAGCCCGATTGGTAGCACCTCCTCCCTCCAGGTGTGATGATAAAAATCATCTCCAGACACTGCAGATGTCCTCTGCAGCTATATTCTATGATGTACCCACAGCCTCTTATCCAAGGTGTTCGGCCCAGAAGCCAAGAGTCAGGGAATGGGAGCTGGAGGGCAAGGGCAGAGGGGAGACTTGGTGGGCGTGGGTTGTGTGTGTGTGTATCCTGCATTGAGAATCCCATGTACACTTGTCTCTAGGGCCTTGCACGCTTTTCTCCAGCTGTCCGGAGTGGCCTGTGCCCTCTTGGCCTTGTAGGTTTACTGTGACTCTCTCGTCGTCTCTGCGGGTGCTCCAACTCCTGCAGCCTCCGCTCCTTGCCTACAGCTACTTTTGCTTTCAAGCATGTCTGCAAAACTCACAGAAATGCAGAGAGACGGGGAGCGGTTGGGCGAGCTGAGCCCCACTTTTGATGAGGAAGCCTTAGTGTTGAGGCAGAAGCCTGAACTGATGCAAGTCCGAGACAAGGACGACGTCTCTCTACAGCAGTGGAAAGCCCGGCAGCTGCAGCGCCTGGCTGAGGAGTTGAAGGCAGAGTGGCAGGAGGCCCGGCTGCAGCAGGTCAGAGACATGGAACGCATCTACTTAGCCCATCTGTTGGATGAGGCAACAGGGCGGGCCGTGGGAAACGACATCAACTTGGGCAAACACAACCAGAGAGGCACAGCAAAACACTTGAGGACTAAGGAGAGAAACAGAGCCTTTAGAGAGGAGAGGGGCCGCCGGGAAGAGTACCCCAGGCAACAGCCCAGGTCCCGGAAAAAAGCAACGTGCTCAGAAAGACGGGGTTCTACCAAAGCCCGGGGCCCAAACTCCAGCGAGAAGGGTAAAGGGAAACGGATACCTTCGAGCAAGAGCAACGGGGGTTACCAACCCTTGGGCTCTCGGATGAGCAAAGGGCCAGACCTGACGGCAAAGCTCAACCCACTCTTAGCAGGTGCTGGCGAAACTGAGTGGGTGGAGGAAGTCCCGAAGGGAATATCCCGGGAAGGGCGGCGACCAATGAGAAGGGGGGCTTCAGGGTTTGCTCAGAGCGTAAATCAGAGCTCCAGGGACCAGAGTCTGCAGGGCAAAACAGCTGACTTAGAAAAGCCATCATCGCCCCTCAGCTCCACCCTCATACAGGAGGCCACATCCCAGGGGGCGCCCTGCAAGTACAGCGATAAGAATCAGTGGCACAAAGAGATTGAGTCCGCCTTCGAAGAACTGTTTAACACAAACAGAAAGCTGAAGAAACATCTGAATTTGCACCTGGAACAGCGGCTCAAGGTGGACCACGATCCAGATGATCTGCAGAGCTGCTCAGAGACTCAGGGTGAGGGCAGCAACATCCTGAGAGAGGAGGAGGCAGAAGCGACTGCTGAGGAGCCTGGGAGCCCATCAGACAGGGAGGCCCCTGAAATGTGGTCCAAAACCAATCTGAAACAGTTGCTGCTAAGTGAGGCTGAGTACCCCAGGTACCAACAGATGGCAAAGCATCTAAAGAGTGAGAGCCTGGCGCCTGTTCCTGAGGCAGGAACATCTAGCGAACAAGACAATTCATTCTCAGAAAGCCCAGAGTCAGTACAGGAGCCACCCAAGTCAGCCACGGTGCAGGAAGAAAGCCTTAGGCCTTACCTGGAGAATCAGGCAGGCTCTGTCGCAAGCTGGATGGCTTTGAGGCAAAAGCAAAAGGCAGAGTTGGAGCAGAGAAGGCAAAAGACGTTGTTGGAGCTGACAGAACACCCCAACATGAGCTTGGAAATCCATTACAAGGCCGAGCTAGAGGAAGAACGCAGGGAACGCAGGAGGATGCGTTTGGCCATCCTCAAATCTTATTCCACTGGGGTCCGGGCCCCAACCCCTGACAAAAACACCTCCCTGGATAACAGCCTCCTCGACGAGGACAAACAGAGCCAGATGATCCGTGACCTTCAGCAGCAGATTTTAGAGCAAAACAAGTTACACAAGCAGTTTTTGGAAAAAGCCAGGAAACGCTTGCAAGAGTTTCAGAAAACGTTTTAAAGGCAGACTACCCGAGATCAATACATCCCTGATGGCTGCTTTGCCTGCGCCGTGTCTGCATCTCTTTTGTTTGCCATCTTGGCAAACTCCTTCCTGCAGAAGCAGAAGCCTTGGTGGGGTCCAGAGAGGGGGGTCCAGCTCATGTTCTGCAGCCGGAGTCTGCTTTTATGGGCTGTGGGCACTTAATGGAAACCCCAGGTAAAATCTGCACTTCAGATGGTTTACCCAAACCCTGGGCTTGCAGAGGCATTCAGGGTCAGCCGGGCACAGTTTCAAGAGATACATCATTGCTTGCTTGGCCTTTGGCTGAGACAATGTCAGAGCCGTTAGCTAAAACCTCTCTCCTTTAGAAGGCAGGGCACACACAATGACAAAGCCAACATTGTTTCACAATATACGCATTCTTAGAACCTTTATGACTGGGAGGCAAGCTAGTCCAGCCCAGCTGGGTCCTTCCACCTCCCAGGGATGATGGGGCCAGTGCTTGTGGGTGGAGGTGGGAGGAGGACACCTGGGTGTTCAGTTTCTTGCTCCTTAGGAGCCAGCAGCCACCTGGCTGTGGGGAGCACAGGCCGGGTAGGCAGTGACCAACATACTTTTCTCTGCAGAGCCTAGAAGGCGAATGTTGCCAGGCAGCCCCTGGCCACTGCTCAGCTCTGCTTTTTCAACCCCAAACCAAGCTGTGGAGGGGCTCAGCTTAGAACAGGGTTGAGGAGGATGCATAAGGGCCTTAGGTTCAGTCCCCAACACTACAGCTGGGGCATTGATGGAGTGGGAGTGGGGGTGGTGTCTGCCACAGAACTTGTAGTCATGAGTGGGCGTGGCCAAGTACTAGGAGACTAAGGTGGTGGCTGCCGTCTGTGGCTCCTTGTTAGTTTCTGGGGATCTTCTCATTTCTTCCCTTCCTCCTCCCATCTTCCTTTCATGGCCTTCTTCCAGATACCTTGAGTGATCATATTTGATGGTGACACATTGGGAATGTTGGTCCGCAAATGGCCGCATTTATCTCCTATGTGTTTTGTAGGTAATATGAACAACAGCCCTGAGTGTATCAGCCAAATCCATGACCTGGGTGCAAGGAGAGGAGCTAAAAGCAGACCCTCTGCCATGTGTTGGGTTTCTTAAAAAGCTCGTGTGTCGTCCTCAGACATGCACCTGCTGAACCCTTCAACACGTGTGTTGAACACGGTCAGTCGCGGGTGGTTTTCCGTGGGGTAGAAGTTCCTCGTGTCTGCTGTGGTCTTAGCCTGGCTCCTGATGCTCAGCCACTAGTACAGAGCCTCTGCTCACCGTGGTATATCTTTGTGGGCTTTCAGAGCCTGCCTTCCAGGGTCCCGGCTGCGTTTGTGCCCCTTTTGGAAAGGAGAGCTGTGCAGCCAGTGCCTTTGGATCAGGTCTGATGCTGAGCAGTGCTTTCATAGTCCAACCCCAGCTCTGGCACCAGCTCCTGTTTAAAACGCTTTTGGAAGCTGCGAACGAAAACGTGCAGCTGGGGCGTAGGTAGGAGGGCTCAGTTTGCCTCCCCTTTGCTTCCCGTTTGCACCATCTCTCCTGGAAGAGATCCATCTGATCTCCTGGTACTTTTTCATTTATACGGAGTACCAAACTCTGTCCCTGACCCTGATCCTGATCCTGACCCTGACCCTGACCCTGACCCAGCTCTGTCCCGGGAGCTAAGCAGTGAACGGCACATGAGGGCCATGCAACTTTTGGCTAGTAGGAAACACAAGCAAGGGTAGCTTGTGTGATAAGTGTTGGCCAGGGGCTAGGCCTCCAAGATGTGAGACACTGGCCCTGTGTGGGGTTCCGAGGAAGCTGAACCTGCCTTCTACCACACTGCTCGTTTGCCTGGACTCTAATAGCTTCCCACAGGGGGTTGAGATTTGCCCTTTGCTTCCGAGTCATCACACCTTGTTCTCACCCGGGGCCTGATTTATCAGTTGATGCCCAGTGTTGCACGGACACCTTGCAGCATCACCCCTGTCCCGAAGAGTAGAGCAGCTGTTGTGGCATCCCATTGGCTTAAATCTGCGGTCACAACCGGACTTTGCATTGCACGACTGAGCCTCCCAACTTCGTTGGAAGCTGCGGCCCAATGAGCAGACACATCTTCCCGGAGCAAATTGTTTTTGTTTCCATTTACAAAGATGGTATTTGTGGCCCGTGCTCTGAGTTAGGAGTCGCTCCTTCCTGGCTACACTGAGCTAAAAGTAGGTGTAGCGATGGGTGTTGAGACATGGTGGAAGGTGACTCATCTCTGCCCGGGCAGCAACACTACACTGTCCCTTGGCAGCAAGCATGAGAAGATGCCCTGCCCTCTGCCCATCTTATAGAAGGCTAAAGGGGGATGGGCTAGCCTTGACCCAGACCAGGGATGGGGGCGGTAACTCCAGCCACTAGGATCTCCTTGCCCCTTAAAAATACAATTTCCCAATGATTCCCTAAGGAAGTGCCATGGCTGCCTCCCACCTCATCCTCAGAGGTTGCGGAGTCTGGGTAGACCACGTTTTCACTGTTTCCATCGCGTTGAGACATCTGAGTGGTGACGCAAAACTCCTTGGGTGCAAGCTGGAGCCTCCCCAGGCCCTCCGCCCTTCTCACCCATCAGCCTCCACAGGGAGGCCAGCGCACCGTAGGAAGGCTCTGCCACTCTAGGTACCAGGCAAGGGGACCAACCTTGACACTGTCTCCTCCACTCATGCCCAACTTCCAGCCATCTCTGTCACCAGCTCCCTCGTTCTTGACACGAGTATTCAGAGGGGGACACTTTGGGCTCCTGTGGTACCCTCAAATCCTTCCTGAAGCATTAGTTCACATAGACAGCCATACTGGCTGGGGTGGGGGCGTGGTCCAAATTCACACTCCAGTCCTATAAGCTGCCTGGCCTGGCCTCCATTGGCTGAGATGGGGTGGGGCACAGCACCGCTGAAAGGTGTATGCAGCTTCAGCCTGGAAACGGGAGAACCCAGGCTCTTGCCATAAACCTCCCCAGAGCACTGAACCCCTAGAGCTTCTCCCTAGCTTTGTGTCTCTGTACTCACACGTGGGGGGTGGGGAGGGGTGTGCTGGATCTTTATTCCCGCCGTGGACTGAATTTATCAGTCCTGGTCATCAGGTTACTTCCTGTGTGTCTACCCCATGCATCTTCTCTAAACGACATGGACTCAAATCCGGGGCTGACCAAGTGGCGGACAGGCACCGCTTGCGTGCACAGGCTGGGGCATGCCCAGAGTGTCCAGCAGGTGAGAGATGCAGGCGTAGTGAGTCCTCTTGCCCGCCTGCTCTCGACGTCGCTGGCAGAACCGGTCAGCTGTGACCACGATGATCCCATTGAGCCACGACTGGGTCAGCCACCTCTCCCCTCCTAACCTCGTGCACAGGCAGCGCCCAGAACGCCATATCTGTGAGGAGATGGGTTTGGGAAAGGGGTGTGGAGTTGGGGGTGGGGTAGGGCCTTGTCCCTCCACCAAGCAGAACAGGACACGAGGTCAGTTCAGACCTCTGAGACCAGACAGGGTCTGGCTTCCAGTCAGTCTCCAGAGGAGCCAGGTTGGGCATGCTACAGGCCTCAAACCATCTGGCTGGAGACTTGAGAACTGTCCTGAATGTTCTCCATACTCCATGGCATGGTGAGGGTGGGGAGGCCTGGACTAATGAGGGGATGAAGGGAGGAATCCGTGTCCTGCTGTCTCCCTTCAGACATGGTTGGTGACTCTGCTCACAGCCCCATACCTTAGTGACCCATTCATGGACAGGGCTGAACACTGAGGCCCCGGGCCAAAGGCCCAGTCACCTTAGGGTTGCTCCTGGAGACCAGTGGATGAAGAAAGACGCTCCTGACACTCTGCAGCAGTACCCGCCTAGTGGAAAGGATCCTGATTCGCCTCAACCGTCATGTCCCCCCCAGCCCCTTCCTCGGGTCTGCATGGAGATGGCTAATGGGTTGGCAGAGTGCTCCAGAGATTTCTCTAGGCTTCCTTTGCCTCCAACCCTGCCAGGCTGCTGCCCAACTTAGCCCGGTTTGGTATTTACAGAGCTGAGCCGAGCTTTCTCTCGGCCCCTGGCTCCTTGGCGGAGAAATTGCCGATCAGCAGCCCCTCCACAAGGCCACCCTGTTCTCAGCGAGCCCTCCCAGGAGTGGGAAGCATTTTTTTCAAATGACTCAGCAGCACGTGAACGGGACGGGCTGAGCTTAAGGCCCTGGCATGAGATCCTGCTGGTCCACAGCTGGAAAGGAAGGGTGGCAGGGTGAGGGCTTGGTCCCATCAGCAGGAGGCAGCTGGAGGGCTGGACCAAGAACCTCCTCCTGCTCACTCATAGACATGCCATCACCCTCCCCAAGAAGAGCCAAAGCAATGGGCAGGAAATGGAGATGGGAAAGCTGGTCTCCATGGAGACGGGCATCTAGCGGACAGCCGCCCTCCTGTGCCTGCTAGCATACTAGAATCTGAGCGGTGGGCAGGGAGCCTGCTGCTAGGCAGGCCTGGCACATTCCCAGGCACCGGCCCATGGGTGGTGTGTGTGGCCTAGAGCTGACCGCCCTGCAGTCCCCTGTCATAGCCTTGCAATCCCATCCCCCCCTCTGCCTCAGCCACACCCATGTGCTCGCCTTGGCCTGAGTTGTTATAGATGAGCAGGTCTTGACCTCATCCTGAGTAGGCTCAGCCCCGACCCAAGGCCAGGACCGTGTTTGCTGCCTGTGAGGGGATGGATGATGAGATGTGGGAGTTCCTGTGGCAGGGGCTGGTCTCAGCTGCTGATGGGGGGGGGACCATGCCGAATCCTGCTCACCAGCACGGGGCTGTTTTTAATTTACTGAATGGCAACACCCCCACCCCACCCCACCCCACCTCCTTTCCTTTTAGGGAAATAAGGGAAAAGGGATTTGGAGCCGGGTCTTTTTCACTAACCCACAGTGGCTGGGCACGGAGGGGACGAGGCAGGCGGGGCTGAGCTCAGTGGATGACCTCACCCATCTGCAGAGGGAAGGGTGAGCACCATGAGGCCGGAGGCAGAAGGTAGAGCTGGTGTCCTTGGTACCTGAGCA